TTGCACGAACGAGTCCTGGCTGGCAAAATCATCCTTCTCTCATTTCGCTGCTGGCTGGCAACCACTAAACATTTGATATTGCTGGCTGACTAATATAATCACGGTCTTGCTGGGAGTGCGGAGAGGGTAACTCTCTCCCAGCGAAATTTTTTTTCACTCAAAAATGAAAGAGATAAACACTTACAAACGTTCTAGGTCAATTTAAATACAAAACCATAAACTTGCCCGTCGGGTGCTCCTGTGAATTAACCTTCTCTAGGCTGATCTAAGTCAAGACATGGCAAACTCACAGATCAACTGAAACAACATCTTGGCTGTTCTTAGTTAAGATCAAATTGAATTTAGCTCGTTGGATTCTTACACAAAGGTTATACGCCCTAACTCAAAGTAAATAACGCATGATGAGTCTATCCGAAACAATTCATATCCCTCATCCATTTTGATTCATTATTCTCAAAACGTTGTTACCATAGAAACAATGCGCCTTCGCTGATGGGTAACTGTCTTGTACCCCTTGAAGATTAAAAAAAATCAGTTTGTATAATAATATAGACTTTTTTATAAGATCATTAAACAGTTTGGAGTAAAGAGCATGAATTATAGGAATACTGATAAATACTTATATGACGCGGGTGGTTTATCGTATTAAACAATAGAGGTATAATTAACTACTGCCTTCCATTATTCTCGTAAACAATATGGTTTGTTTGGTCTATACCGCATGATGCGCGCAACTCTATTAAATCAATTCGACTTCAATCAGGTTAGGCCTAAAACAAGTATTAAGTCTAGTTCAGAGGTTGAAATTTTGCCGCGTAAAATCTAATCTGATCACAGATAAGCAGCTCTGGAAAGTTACTGTTGCTTCAGAAAGTCCTCTACGGTGAGTCAACATACGCCCCCATTTGCCGTTTTTATTAGAAGCCATGCAAGTGAACCGTCCACGACTATGACGGAATACAGTAAAAACCCGCATAAAAGAACAAGTGGGTTAAGAACACCCAGCCTGAATTTGGGCGTTTTAAGTACCATGTAAATAAGAACACAATCAGCCTGAAATATTAAAAAGTGTTCTTAAAAAACAAAAATCACTATTAAATGCCTCCTCATCAGTACTCATGTATACACCGATGGGGGGAGAGTTTAGATTACAGTGTTACCAGTAGCAGACTCCAAGCCTGACCTGACAATATTTATTTTTCTACTGTTTTGATACAGTTATTATTAGTTATTATTGCCACGCAGTCCACATACTCTCATCTTTACAGTTATTATTATATGACCGTTAATCTTAGAGCCTGGACACACTAGCAAATCGAGCAATCTGATTGGATAGATCGCATCGCGGACTGGTCTAGATTCTCCGGTATAAACCGGTCCGGTCGCACATTAATCTTACGGCAAAAACATTTTGTCCTTTTCAATAAGAAATTGTTAAATAATAAAACTCTTATCAACCGAGCTTGCTCGGTCTGTACGAGATAATCTTGACCTCGGTCAAGATTATCCCGTACAGACCTCCCGCTCGGTTAATAAGATCTAATTATTGCAGTCAAGAATTTTTTAATAACATTTTTGAACTTACATATTGATATCATCTACATGTATTGGTAGTCTAGCTATCTATAGTAATACTGTTATATATTTTAGAAACATTTATTTTAAGAACACCGTAAGAACACCTTCAGGCTGATTTTTCAGTAAACACCCGTTAAATAAGGACAAAATCAGCCTCAACTCCAAAAATGGGTGTTCTTTTATGCGAGTTTTTACTGTACTAACTTTCGAAATGTCATATCAGTACCTTTGCAAACTTTTTTACCCAGCGTTTAAGTTTCCTTGTTACTAGTCACATGTGGTATTCAAAACGCCTACGTATTAGTCCACAGAGTAAAAACGTTATTCATTATCATGTTTTTTTAATATTTAACTTCGTAAGTGCTTTATTACTAAATTGAGCATGGAAAAAGCTTTTTTTTTTATTCGTTTTATTACATAGCTAGTCATTTTCTTTTTATGTATCGAATTTATTTACGCAAAAAGAAAGACTTTCGCAGGATCTAGCAGCACTTCGCGCGCGCGGATGCATGGCGTCATCACAGTGCTTCGTTCACTAATAAAGCACAGTTTCCTACCAATCAACGCGCGCGTACGATCCAAGCTATATAATATTTTTTGTATATCTAAAAGTTACATGGTTTTTAATTTTATATGTCATTCTGTGCCATCGCATGGAAAGAGTCATGTACCGCATGATATATAGCGTTTTCTCCCCGGATATTGCTTACCCGCCACCAATCAAGGAAAATGGCTCGAGGAATGCCAGCCGGATGTTCTTCATCAAAAAGTGAAAAGTTTGTGATATAAATCACCGGGGTTTTTTCCCTTTCTTTCAGCCAAAGGGCCGATAAAGCATGCACTGCTTATTTTAAAACACAGGCCGGGACGCCCTACCTGGGAGAAACGCTTCATAATAGTGACACGTCGTCCTTGGTTTAAAAGGGTTAGCCACTGGCTAACAAACTTGTGGCGTCCTCCTTTCATGGTCGAATTGGGATTTAGGAGTTGAAGGAGAAAAACACTCGAAGCACAGCACATAACCAACTTAACTTTTCTCATGCAACACCGAGCCCAGCGGCACTCGAACGCGCGTTGCCGTTGATGAGAAGCCCATTCATGTTCGCAAAGCCTACTCATTAATCAAATCGTAGGGTTAATATTTGGCTAATAAGAAGGGTCTGGGATAGAGAATATGCTTCCTCACCTTCCTTAAACGGATTTTCTCTTTTTTCACTGGCTTGGCTTGCTGTTTGCATCAGTATATCGGAACTGACACCCATATAATGCCTCTTTAGGTAAAATTTGTGCATCTTAAAGCCCCGTTTACACTAACGATTTTTGCGGCGATTTTTGCTGCGATTTTTTAGGCGATTCTGTCCATAATAAATAATGGTAAAGAATTTACTCGTAAAGTTTTATTCAGGATACTAAGATTTTCCTATACGAATGTCTCTTTTGAAGGATGAGACAAAAGATTTTATGTTTCCGAACATTGCCACAAAAATCGCGCAAAAATCGCCGCAAAAATCGCCAATGTAAACGGGGCTTAAGACGGTTCAGTTTTCCGGGAATACGAGGGAGAAACACCAGGAAAAAGAATGGGATGTAATATTAAGGTCCATACATGATTTTCATTTGATAACGAATTGATTTATGAACTACAAAAGTAGTATAGAAAGCATTGATTATATTTATTTTATCTTTAAAGACTTGATTTGACTTTGAAGTATTGATTATATTTATTTTATCTTTAAAGACCAACGATAATTATATAAATATATCTTATTTCTTTAGATATAGAGACGGTCTCTATGTCAAATATTTATGTGATATCGTAGTGTTTTTTCTTAAGAGCTATTGCTATCTTCAAACATTGACAATATATAGATTTATACTGATATTATTATTTTCTTCGAAAATATATGATATGAATTTTTAAAAACTATCACTAAAACACATCATTAGAAATTAGCCTTTTTTCACAAGAATGTTCGCGTAAAGTTGCACACCGTCATCAAGATCAGTGTTTTCCCCCTTTTTTCCGTTTTAAGTGAAAAAGGGCTTGTAAGAACGTACATTGCTAGCAAATCTATGTTATCTACATCTCTACATCAGCTACAATAATAATTATTTCCCCCAAAGAACATTGAATATACTTTATATGAGAGACGTCACGTATCGATTATAGTTTACCAAGCAGAACTCCATTTAGTGCTACTAAAGGGATATTTCGGTAAACGATTGGAAAATTTGAAAGAAAAAACGATGACTGATCACTGACGTCAATGTAAAAACGTTTTGTTTCGGCTTGGAAGCAACATTATATTTGTTGCACGTAGCAATGTTTCGCATCAGGCTAAACTAAAAATCGGGGAAACATGCGCGCGGTAAACATGTTTCCTCGTTAGTCCAGGACCTAAGATTTTGCAGAGAAAATATAAGAACGTATTAGTGGAAGTTGCGCTAAAAATTCATAACGAGTATGATGAATTATTGGCCTTTTTATTCTTTTTTGTTTCATAGGTTAACTTTTTGAATCGAGTAACGCATTTACTTTGACTTTCGGTTTGATTTTCATAGGATGTCATAAGCATTCCGCCATTTTGAAAAAATAGCGTCCACTAAAAACAGCCCCATGATTTAGCGCGCTTTTTACTCGTTAATTGTTTTCTGCGCAACTTCATCAGAAAGGCCAGTTTGACTGATTTGTGTAATATAATATTTTATATCAAATTGATTTCTCGTGATTTGTATCTATATTTCCATACAAGTCGTTCACGACGTCCAGTCCCTCATTATCGTAACACGCATCACTCGGGTCAGCATCAATCTTTGAATATGCAGCCTCGCTGCGGTTTAGAGAAAAACCCCGCGGTTTCCGCTCACGACAATCTGACTGTACATCACTTGTTGCTTCGTATAAAGGGTTCATATCCACATCATTTCCGGTTCTGCTGCTTCCGGTAGTGACGTTGTCGTAATCAGGATCACCTGCGTCAGAATAGATAGGATCTACGGCTTGTATCTTATTGGCTTGAGTTCCGATGACTTCACTCATTTCGTAAATGGGATTGAAGCGCGAATCTGCACCATTGTCCATTTCTTCGCTGTTAAAGCCAGCTTCGTACACAGGATTTGCTCCTGTATCTACGGTCCCCCCACCGCAGTAATCTTCTGGGACTCCATCATATATTGGATTCATTCCTCTAGGGCACGCAGAGGGAGCTGAAAACGGCTCAGGCCCAGTTTCATAGAGAGGGTTCTGTTCCTGGTCTGTGTAACTCTCGTATATAGGGTTTCCTCCCTGAGCCACGGCGTCTGTAGAGGACTCGTACAGGGGATTATCCGTTGCTTCAGTGGGTGATGCACTGTTATTGTTCGACGCTATACGAGCCTGTGTAGCAATCGTCATGTCGTAATTTGGATTCGTAACAGAAGTGTTGGTGTGGCTCTTTGGTTTTGTCTCTGTGGCACTGTCATAGATTGGATTCATGGCGATGTCCGCTGGATCTTGATGGCTCACGGAATCTCGATCTTATGAAAATGAACAAAAAAGAAACGTTTTAATCATTGCGAATTGAAGGTAGCATCATTAATTTGGATAGCGTGTTGCCCAGCTCTTGGAAAAGTATGTAGAATATAGCACAGGGCCCGGTTGTACAAAGGGTGGGTAAATTGGATAGATTTATTGGATAACATCATCGGTTTATCCACTGGATATGGATGTATCCGTCGGATAGCGCTATCCACCCTTCGTACAACGGGGCCCTGATGTGCACTTATTGAAGTGAGAAGCGCGACTGTTAAGGCCGGTTTAGACGGTACGATTTTCGCCTACAACTATCGTATACAACACGCTCGCGCCATCCTACAACTCGAGTCGTAGCGTGTAAATCAAGCCTACAACTCGCCTACGACAGACGAGAGCGTGTTGTATACGATAGTTGTAGGCGAAAATCGTACCGTCTAAACTGGCCTTTAGAGARGGAAAAAAAACATGTAAAATTTCCAATAGACCATTGCTTTTAGCAACAGAGCTTTAGGGGTCGATAAAACGAACGTTTGCTTGGTTATGTTGTTTTGTTTGTTTTTAGAGAAACCAGAATGTCATGTGTAGGCAGCCATGCATTTAAAAAGTCCATTTGAATGCTGCTTAAATATGACATGTAAGAGTATGTCTATTAAGACCGACTAAATTTTTCGTATGCGAAACTAAATTTTTGTTCTCTGTTCTCTGGTAGTCCTATAGCGGCTACAATATTAATAAAAAAAAGTGTTATCACTATCCCGGCATAAAACTAAAGTGAACAATAGTCCCTTTCACAGTTCACAGCACCATATTGAAAGCTGGCAGTGCATTTGCATTGAAGCGAGGACGAACGGCGAGCTAGAGACCTTTTTTAACACCTTGAACAATTATTCAAATGTTTCTATCATTGTAAGCTCAACGTTCGTCTCGCTTCGATGCAAAGGCACGGCTACCTTTCAAGATGGAGAGGGAACTGTGAAGGGGACTAATAAGAATGTACATCTTACCATTCCTTCCCTTGCAGCGCGAAGGGATTAATTTTCTTGCAGTTAACCTGAAATCAAAAGAAACTTTGATAAATCTAATATTATTCACAATAAAGACATAACCTGGGACCAAAAAAGTTTTTGTTAACAAATACTTTTTAGCTGATCTTCGTGTAATCCAACATGCATGGCCGCAATCGCATGTCTCTGTTAAATAAAATAGTTATTGCATGGAGGTAACCACATCATTTGAGCTTTTCTCGTTCGTAATGTACACCAGTATGGCAGCCATGTTGTCGATTGCATCATTCAGTGTGACGTCATAACCGCCATCATCAGCTTTGTCATAGACACTCTATTTCAGAAATCGTTGTCACACCAAAAGCCTCAAGCAACAAGACAAGACCGCAGAGAACGCCGATACTTTTAGCTAAGGTATGGTGCATTTTCATTTATTGACTTCACAAATTGCTCCAAGCAAGGCTGCTTGAGATGATAATTAGCGTAGAGCTATAGCCACTTGCATGAACCATGAATATATCAATTATAATTAAAAGTACCGACGTTCTCTGGAGCCCTGGCTTGTTACTTGAGGCTCTTGGTGCGACAACGATCTTCGAAATAGGTGTATACCAACAAGTCTGTCATGCTTACAATATATTGTTTGTCCGTTTGTTTTCGTTTGCCGCCATATTGGCGTAACTGACAGAAATATTCTACATAGATTCTTCTTAATCACACTATAACAATAATTTATTAAACAAATACCTTGTAAATAAACAGTATGTAAATACCTTTTCCCTACTCCTCCAGCTGGATTTCTGCGCTTTATTCTCCAATACACCAAACCAAGTACAATCATAATCACGAGTAACAATATTGCAACGGCAATGACAGCGGATATAATAGTAGTCGAGCCACCGTCACCACCTTGTTGTCCAGAAAAACCACTAGGATCCGATGAGGGAGACGCTTCCACTAGTATGAAATAAATAATATTGATCGATTTATTAGTAATTAATATTGTTTCTTTGTTCACTATTAAAGTTTCAGAAGAAGAATACTATCAATTAATGCGAGTGAAATCCTTCCCATTAAGCCAAAAGTGGACTAAGAATGGTAAAAAGTGAATATTTTTGCAAGAAGGGAATTTAACTAGCTTCCTACAGTTTTCCGTGGTATGTCCAATGTTTTTCGTCATCATCTAGCCGTCAAAATGTTGTTGACTCGCAAGGTGTAGCCAGTTTACTAACAAAAACAAGGGGTAAATTTGAAAGAAAAACGGTCTCAAGCATACGCGCTAGCTTCGTGTGCTTGAGACCACGAGGCGATTAGAGAGTTGCTGACGTAATTTATTGGTATAACCTCCTATTTACCCCGTGTCACCAATCAGAACGCTAGTTAGAAAATTCACAATTATGGTAAAATTCTTTTTCCAAGGAAAGTTAAAGAAATCACTTCACCCAGATGCACTCGTTCTAACGATAAACACTAATTCATTGTTTGTCGAATAGCAGGCCTAGTTTATAGGGAGTTATAATATTGCGTTTAAATTACGCCATCGCGGCCATATTGGAGGCATACTGTAGTGAAATATTTCTCATTAGCTTCCATTTTACATATATACCCCTTGCATTGAGTCCCGAGAGGAATTTGTTATAAGCGACAAAGCTATAGTGTTTTTGTTTTGTTTTTTTTTGTTTTGTTTTGTTTTGTTTTTTTTTTTTTTGCATAAGAAAATAAAGCCTATTGTTTTGTTCACTAGAACAATTCCTCTAGGAAATCAATGCAAGGGGTTTATACTATCAACATGCCCACCTAAGCTTTCTTTTTCTGAATCTTTTGAGAATAAAGGACTGTGCAATAATTATATGGAGAGGGGTTCCTAATCTAGTGGGAGGCGTTAAATTACAGTGTAGGATGGGGGGAGGGGGGTGTTGGTAGTAATTTTATCTTCAAGAAGGGAAGGGCTAAGAATCTATTTTTAATTTAGTACAGGGGGGAGGGGGGGGGGCTTAACTTCACTTTAAGGCCTACTTTGCTCATTTCAGAACCCCTCGACCCCTTCAGATAATTATTGCACAGTCCCTAACCGCAAACCATAAATTCAGTCTCCCGATTAGAGACTCGTATCTATAGATATAATTTATAGTAATGATTATAAAATTAAATATAAACGCTTATAGTAATTTTACTTACGTTCTTCGCAGTATTTCCCGCCATATCCTGGCAAACACGTGCAATTGCCATCAACTATGTCACACGTGGCGTTATTCATGCACTTACAGGAATGTGAACAGCCTTGTCCATACGTACCAACAGGACATGCTGGATAAAACAATTATTATTCGAATATAAGAAATAGGTTATAAAACAAATTCAGTAAGTGTGAGATACAACATGGCGAGCGAGTTTTCTGGGAGACAAATCGTGCCTGTCAGTAAATCGACGAAAAAAGCATTAAGATCGCACAGTGATTCTTTGACATCCCGACATTGAATTTAATACTAATTTACCCCGAACTATCAGTGTTACTTTTTTCGGGTCAAAAACTAGTACCCAAAGAAAACGGTTTAAACGTGAATCGTAGTTGCCACTCTATACATCAATGGTATAGGAGAAAGAGAATAAAGCTTGCTCAAATAGAACCACAGGATCTCAAGCGAATTTAATACTCTTAAAAGTAGTTCTGTAGATCAGTTTTATTATGACTATCAGTTGAGTGAGAAATAGCAAGCCTTTCTACCAAGCGCTTTGATTATTGCAAAGGGTAGAAACGCCTTGCTGGACAAATAATTTGACTGCCTCATGCGCCTTCTGGCGTGAGGAGTGGTAATGAGAAACTTCAGGTATAAATCTGTGTTGCATTCATAAAATTAAATGTCTGCGGTAATTAGACCTCGGCTTCCTCCATGAAAATATCAAGCAACGAAATCTCTCAAAAGAGGTTTTCTTCGATTTTCCTCCCTCTGCCAACCTTAAAATGGTACTGAATTTCATGCAGTGCCCTTAGAACTGCAGAGAGGTTGTTTCAGTGTTCGATATAATCTTAGTTGTTATTTTTCTCCCCTAAAAACATCTACTTACTTTCGTTGCAGTAAGCACCTTGAAGACCGGGTTTACAGTAACAGGTGCCCGTCACGTGATCACATACACTAAGCATGGTTTCACTTCGACATTGACATTTTTCTCTGCAATTGAACCCAAATGTACCGACAGGACATTCTGAAATGAAGCCAAAAAAAAAAAAGAATAAACTAGTTACTAGTGCTTAGTATTAAAACAATTAAATTGGTGTAGCAATACTCTACTCGTATATCTGAGCAGAGCTTGTAGGAGTTTACCTGGAGATTAAATTTTCTACAGGTTCTCATAATTTTCCACGCTAAATTTCAATTCCTTCTTACGAGAAAGCTGCGAACTTACTCTCAACCCATAGTCAAAGTTGTTTTTTTCAGAGTTCTATAAAATCCTTTCAGAGTTCTATAAAATCCTAACTTCAAGTTAATTACCAAATGAAAGTTTAAAAAGAGATATAAATGCATTGGTCATGACATCGATTACCTTTTTCACACCGTTCACCAGTATATCCATCATTGCAGGTACACGCTCCGGTCATGTGGTTACATTCAAGAGTATTTGTTGATCTACAGCTACACTTGGATGTACAGTTATTGCCGTATGTACCCTGTGGACAAACTGATACCAAATTCACAAGTAAGTGATGTACTAATATACATATATTAGATTGTAACAATGTTCTCAGAGTACCTTTCGACTGATATGCAGTTTCCCTATATCAAACCTCTTGGGAATATATTACTTACTTGTATGAGTGTATATTAATAACTGTATTACTTTTATTGTAATATTATCGTTATTATTATCATTGGTATTATTTATTATTATTATTATTATTATTATTATTATTATTATTATTAAAACATATTTTGTCGTTACATTAACCCCAAGGGCGCAACGCTCATCGAGGGGGTCTATGTTATTATCATCATTATCAACATCATCATTATTATTATTATTATTATATCATTTTTATTATTATTGAAAGAAATGAATTTAGTAAAACTCAGAAAAAATCTGAGCTCCATTATTAATATTATATAATGGTTGCAAACTATCATTAGTCAAGTGTACGGCACACGGTCTTTATTGAAAAAAATTCCTAAAGCAAAAAGGGTATATTTTGAGGAATAATATTTTAAAAAAGAATCCTTACACAAGGTGCACTCGCGTCCAGTCCATCCCGGTTTACAGTAGCATGCGCCATTCACGTGATCACAAGACGCTGTGTTTTCTCTATAACATTGGCAGGCTGATACACAGTCTCGACCATAAAAATCTTGCTCACAAGCTAAAAAAAGATAAATAAACTGGTAAGGTTCTTTTATCAGTATATTGCCTACTATTGTTGTTTGGCTATAGTCATGTGCGTAATACCTTTTTCACATTGGTTCCCCGTCCATCCTGGTGAACACAGGCAAGCACCGGTCACGTGATCACACGATGACTGGTGCTGACAAGTACAAGTACTGTTGCAGTTCAGGCCAAACGTTCCCTTTGGGCACCCTGTGGCAGGCAAACAGGACTGGTTACACAAAATCCAAGTAAATCAAAACAAACATCACTGATAATAATGATATATTTACCTTGCTTACAAAGAGTACCATACCAACCGGCTGTGCACGAGCAGACCCCAGTCACGTAATCACACGTAGCACCATTCGCACATTGACAAATAGATTGACATTCATAGCCGTAACTACCTTCTGAACATTCTGGGGGGAAATATGATAAAATTTTGAGACTCCCATTATACTATGGCTGAGAATTAAAGACAGAAAAGTAGTCAGTTGTAGAATCAGCAGGTAATTCTTACTCATGCAATCCGGTCTTGAATACCCAATTGGGCAGTTACATACACCCGTTATTACGTCACAGAGATTATTATTGCAACTGCATTTCTCTTTACAATCTTTGCCATAGCGACCAATTCCGCATACTGCCAAAAAGAAAATAAACACAAAATAGGTTAACGAGGGGGTCAGATGGTTCCTCTATGAAATGCAATAACCAAGCATATCCTCACCAATTTTTTTGTCGCATGAGTCACCGGTATAGCCATCCTTACAAAAACAGAATCCTGATAAAGCATGGCATCTAAAATAAGAACGTCACATATGTAAAATGACAAAAATGAATACCTTTTTTTCTAAGTCTGATAAACACCCTTTACCTGTCAGTTAGTGTCGTATTACAGTTACATTGATTTTTACATCCTACACCACATGTCCAATCCTTACATTCTGTAAAAGAAACAAAATTTTTGATAAGTTTTAAACCTGAAGATTATAGATGTTAAAACCCCCCAAAAATAAACAAGACTTTTAAAACTTACTGATGTCGCACAGTTCCCCCTGCCACTCCCCCACGCATATACAATGTCCTGTCACGGGGTCACATGATGCATCATTCTGACATAAGCACTTTGATTGACAGTTTTTCCCAAAGTAACCAGCCGGACATGGATTGTTACACTCAACACCAGTCCACCCCGGTAGACAGTCACATGATCCATCCACCTTGCTACATGTTGCATTGTTCTGACATCTGCAGGACGCGTTGCATCCTGGACCATATTTTCCATCTGGGCATTGTGTACCACAATCATCACCAATGTATCCAGGCTGACAGCTGAAAAACGTCAAAAAATAACAAAATCTTAGAGACATTTATTATTACTGCAGTCATAATGTGTCTAGAGGATTTCTGACTGAAAAATGGTAGGACACACGGCACGGTAATGAATTCGAAATAAAGGACACTTTGCAAGTCAATTACAGCGAACTGGAGCTTACTGCTAATTCAGTCAAACCGCTAGCACACGGCCATCACTCGTATCGAGAGGTTTTCATAGTTCTAATAAATATATTATTTTAGTACTTACRCGCACTCCCCAGTGAATGGATTACAGGTTCCCCTTTTTGTGCAATTACAATGTACTTTACATCCAAGACCTCCGGCCCCGCCTGCACACTGTTTTTCACAAAACTTGCCCTTATATCCAGAGGTGCAGTTACAGAAACCATCTATCGGTGAACAAGTGCCATTGTTCTGACATGCGCATTTGTCATGGCAGTTGTGACCATATGTTCCTTCTTCACAAAGATCTTCACATCTGGTAAAGAAGCGTTTTTTGAAATTAAACATATATAAAATTTTGTAGTAGATAGTGCTTTATTTTCGCAAGCTGCAAAATGTCGGTAATTCGGTTTATATGACAATCGGAACCGAAAATTGACGACAAAACAAAATAGGTCACTACAATTGGAAAAAACACTTTTTGAGGATAAATCTCTAATGTATATGTGTACATATTACAAACCTCTTTCCTCTGTAACCAGGCCTGCAGTCACATACACCAGTCACGTGATCACACGTTGCACCATGCAAACAGTTTAGACATGTTTGTGCACAGCGGTATCCATATGTACCATCGGGACACTTTTGGTTACAGATGTCTCCCTAAATATGCAACAAAGGAATTAAAGAGTAACACAGTTATCACCGATTTATTTGTGAAAGAATGCAGTTTCCCATCCAGGGGAAAACCATTGGTTGTTGTGCGTCCTATCGGAAGCAAAACTTTTGATTATTTTCAGATGAACAAAATGTCGTCATTTATTTTCATTTTAATGCAACGAGATTTATTGTCGTACAAGTTGTACAAGACTTGTTCACTTAACAGCTTCCCAGTACTTACCGTCCATCCAGCTGTACAGTTACACGTGCCGTTCACGTGATCACACGAAGCTCCGTTCAGACATCCGCATTTCACTGCACAATCCTGTCCATACCAACCACGAGAACATTCTGATTCACAACTGAAAGAACAGGAAATGAAATAGTTACAGTTTGGTATCCCTGTGCTTTGATAGTCACGCCATTAATAGTCATGAAATAAACTTACTGCTGTCCTTGATATCCAGCTGCGCATGTGCAGTTACCATTAACAGGGTCACATGCCGCTCCATTAAGACACATACATTCGTGTTGACATTTGTCACCATAGTAACCTTGGTCACATGTCTTGTTGCAGTACTGTCCCTCCCACCCTGGGGTACACGTACACATACCAGTGTGGGGAGAGCATTTAGCGTTATTTTGACAGAGACAGTAATGTCTGCAGTGTGGTCCCCATTTATGTGAAGGACAGTCTGATGAAGTAAGAAAAGAAAATTAACACGGACCATATTGAGAAAGATTACAAAGATGTTAGTAGTGCTGGCACATACCTCTTTCGCACAGTTTTCCATAGTAACCTGAGTTACAAGAGCAGTAGTCTGGTTTGGTACACGTGCCATTCACACAAGGCTGAGTACAAATAGCTGAAAATAGAAACGAGACTATAAGGATTTTCTTTTCGTTGAATGAACAAGCATACTCTTTCCCTTCATTCCATCCCTTACAGCACTGATATTGTTTTCTGTAGGATATACTAGTGACTACCCTAGCATAAGGTTATTTACCTTTGGTACACTGATTTCCCACTTGACTCCATCCCTTACAGCATTGGTATTGTTTTCTGTAGGATGTTCTCGTAGCTGTTCGATAATTGGTCCTGTAAACAGTCCTATGGGTATAAAGATAAATTGATAAATTGATAAATAACTGAATATCTCTTTTTAAGTGTCTAGTCGTCCTAGCACTTTCTCACTAATTAGGAACACTTTTTCAATCACACACTACCACTACACTCAATGTTGTGTTTGATATCAAGAAGAAAGTACCCTATTAGTCTTACGTTCCAACGCTAATGATTATTCATCAACAAAAAAACGAAGTTCTTTTACCTGTATCGGGAACATCGTTTGAAATTCCAAAATCCACATTTATAAGTTGATCGTTTTCTTTGCGAGACTTGATAGGACTGTTGGTAGTTTTCAATGAAGCTAAGTCAATTAAAGGAATGAGAAAATACAGTTTTAATGCTAAACTATGAAAGAGGGTTGGTTTGATTCTTACTCCGCTTTCAAGAATTCAATAGCATATCCCGCAAATATTGAACGAGTGAGGGGCAAGCATGGTGACTTGGTCCTGTGTTTCGAGAGACTAAACACTTTTTTTTTTGTTTTTTTTTTTT